AGTTTGGAATCTGAGAAGCCTATAGGCTGTTACAGTGCTTTAGTGCAGGTAAAGTAGTTGTTTTTATGTTTGGGTGTACAATATTTTACTTTTTTCTGTTAAGATTGTTAATTTCGATTGTCCTCGTTATTTTGTGACACTTGAGTTATCTAGATGTTTTAGACTTGCAAAATTGAATGTTGTTCTTGGTTGTAGATTTGTGATCCAAGTTTGTATTATATCTGCCTTTCATTCCTTGCTCAAATATTTGGTAAAATGTTTTCTATAGACATCTCAGTTTTGCCCTTGGTTTCTTCTTTTATCAATCAAGCTTTGTGAACTTTGAAAACTTTCTCATATGTTGTCAATATGTTCTTAGACACAAAGCAAATAGGCTGCATMTATTCTAGCTCATTTGGAGGATTCTAACTATGAATTGATTGAAGAAGATACATCTTTAAATAGGTCTATGCAATTTTAACACCTGGGCACAGGTTAGCACTTGAGCTCATGTTTTAAGGCTTATCATTTGCAACACTTGAGCCAAAATGTACACCAGAGTCCAGACAATGTGATGAGAATTTAGGACAGTTTGGTGATTGATATGATGATGATAATTGGTGGATTATCTAAAACTAGGTCGCTTGTATGCTTTATARAAGCACTCTTGTTAAGGTTTAGATATATGAAATGTATGAGGCTCTATATTTTGTCTTTGTAGGACCCATCAAATTGATGACGCTCTTGATTGTTTAAACGAGATGGTTGATTGGGGTGTTCATCCGAATGCTATAACATATAATATCCTGATCTTTTCATTATGTATTATTGGTGATGTTTTTAAAGCAAAGGCTTTGATGAAGAATATGCAAACGAATGGGGTAAAGCCAGATGTTTTATTCTTTCAATGCTTTGATTCAGAACTTTTGTACGATGAAGAAGGTCGAGAAGGCACACAGGGTCCTCTTGATGATGTTGACTTTAGGTTTGACTCCAGATCAAGAGACACCCTATTGCTGTTGTTGCTGCTGTATTTCGTAGGTAATCAACAGTAAACAGTAAGCAGACTTTAGTAGTATGTAYGTATAGACCCATATAGACATTGACATGTTGTGGTCTACTGTTTATGAACTGAACAAATGGACTCTTTTGTCTTTTTACCTCTTGTGAAAAAAATCTATATTACCTTCTCTCTCTCTATGTCCATCTCTTGCAGTTTTAAACAGCATGAGAACTGGACGAACTAGCAACATGAGAAAAGGCGAGTCCTTGGGTTCACTCTCTGCTGTTCCAGATAAGTTGCGGGCTTCTTCTCTTCCTTCTATTCCCAAGATCGAGAACATGCTCCTGGATCCTCCCTCTAACATGAAATGGTTAGTTGACGAGATAGTAGWGTTCATCATCAAGAATGGGAGGCAGTACTTGTGGAACAAGACCGAGCCCATGGGAGATTCCCGTTCCTAATCCCATCAAACAAATTCCATCCATACTATTTAAAAGTTCTCCAAAAAAACCCAGGAGGTACTTTCTTCTCAACAATTTTGTTATAATATTTTATTTGGTGTCTTGAATCATGGTGCTCTTCATAGTTCATACTCAACTTTCCCCGATTTTCTTTAGGCTGTATCGTTGGCCAGGAAGTCCACTTTAACTTGCTTATGATTTACATGCAAAGTTATGAGTACAGKTCTTAGTTATGCAAACTATTGTTTACTAGAATACAATATTGAGCTTCTAATTGCAATATGCAGSYTGGTAGTTTCATAGCAGATTTGGTAACTCGTCCATTTGAAACACTTGTAGTTAACCAAACACTTCTCCCCACCAGATACAAATTTACTTGCTGAAAATAGTGTTGGACATTATGCTCTATGACATTTGATTTCATGTTGTAGTATGTGATATGACTTTTACTKAAACATTTGACATTGGTTGTGCATCCTAATGTAATATAGTTATCTTCATTATGGACAGGTTGGTTTGGTAAGAGAGAAGGCATTTGGTACCACAAAAGATTGGATGCTTTATATTGMGGATTGTGCAAATTCAAGGGCTTCGACTGTATTTATTCGTGGGGGTAAGATATCATTCATGTTGCTTTTGATAGTTACATGTATTTATTTTTTACTTAAGCATTATGGTATAATGACACAAGATTGAGTGGTGTTGATTACTAATTTAGGTAGAATAAATATGATGGTGGCGGTAAGTGTAGGCAGCGAGACTTGATGGGTTCTGTTTTTGTACTATTGAGCTGAATGGTATCTGCTAGATCGAGATTGCAATTCTTATGKGAACATCAAGAWGATGGTTTTCAAAACATAATTGAAGATGAGCCTTTTTTTCTACTGCATAATTGAGATTGCAATCATATTGTTGTTGGTGCATCTTTGATCATGGAATGTAACTAATACATATAATTTTCTTTCATATAATTGATGACAGATTTAACAACATAAAACTGAAGATGTCCTTTCTTTTAAAAGCTTTGAAGTTGGAAATAACTAACCTCTTTAMTGGGTTGTTACCATAAAAATGAAGGTTTTTTGTTTGCAATCATAGGACAATTTTCTTGGAACAGTATTACTTTCTAAAAAGGACAGGGATGATATGTTTGAAGAGCAAATTTTGTATATGTATCATATTGCGATGATGGGCTACTATTTTCTTGCTATCTGAATGTGGTTCTTAAATGATGGCTCAGTTATCAACTGTTACTGAATGTACTTGTTATATGTGTTGATGGGTTCATTCATGGTTGTCTAACCTATAGTGTACTGAAACTTGCTGTGCAGGGTCCTGGTGGAAGGCCGAGCTTTGGTCGTGGAGGTGGCAGTTATGGAGGAGGCGCACCACCAAGCTCAAGTTTCGCTTAAACATATTTCATATTCATACGGTGTTTGCAGTTGAATTTTAAACTTGATCTTGAAATGCTGTGCTTTCTTTCACTTGTTATATGATCTACAATTTTGTTGATTTGATTGGTTCTCTTTCTCCATGATAATTCTTCTAAATTTAGAATATTGTAAGGTGGTTTTTGCAGCTATTGGTTATTTTGAAAAAACCCCTGCCAGAAGGTCATTTTAACCAAAGGACAAGTGTGTACACATGGAGACATAATGTAACTACATGTGTAAACAGGTTGAAGGAATTCATCAAGGAACAATTAGTTAGCACTCCTACAGCTGCAAAACCTCCTGCACCTGTGGCTCAACTAACTACTCCAGCCATTGCAGCATCAGACCCGGGGGCTATGCTCGCTGGTTTGCTGTAAAAAACTTTGAACATAATATCATCAAATACAAGCCCATTGTCAACAAACTGTAAAATGGTTTATATTAGAAGCAGGCAATGATAAAAACAAGCGTGGGCTGGCGTCGGGATTAAAAGGTAAGCTTACAAACGAGCAGCATAGCAATAGAGTTGGATTTGAGAGGGGTTTGATGAGTGGAATTTTTTTCAGGTTGTGTTATTAGGTCATGTTTTCTTTCTCATTTTTGGTGGTGAGGGTTTATCTGTTTATACAAGTTTTTTTTTCGGTCTTTTCCTTCGGTTAGTTTTCAACATTTACCTTTGATATTTATTTAATGGTCATGTTGCAATTGGATCAAAGTGGTTGTGTAATATGAATAGGATGTGAAAAATTGCCAAAGGGTTGAAGTTGACTGTAACTTTATAATTGCATTTGGTTGCCGATTGATTTGTAGTTTTGATTTGCACCTTTTACTGATTGATTTGTAGTTTT